TTAGTTTTGGAGCTTGCCAAAAAATATAACAAAACTCCTGCTCAGGTTCCTGCTTTTATAGCTTCAAACGCGAATTCTTGACATTCTCATGTCCGTTTCCGCACGTGTCGTTGCGTACTTGAGCAGATATCCGCCACCAGACACAGTACATGGAGTACGCGCTACTAAGCCGCAGTTTATCCGCGCCTTTCATTATGCATCGCATTTCTGATAGGGCGAGTCGCAAAGCCTGCTCCTGCTTTCTGGCTGATTTTCAGCCATTTAGCTCCATCTTCAAAAAATACAGAGCTCTATCATGTTCAAACGGAATTTTTGGTAAGTAGATTGTTTCAATTTCCTTGGCTAGCAAATACATTCTTATGAAGTTCTCAAGTGCTCCGAAATCAGTAGATTCACAGCATGGTGTTGACAGTGTCACTGAAATACAGCCATACGTTGAGTGCGTCAATACGGGACCTTTTTTCTCTCTCTTCGTCTCTTATCGGCGATTTCTACTGCTTGCGGCCGTTGTGCTCCAGGAATTCATACCATTGATCGTTTCCCATTGTGCACGGCTTATTCATTAGATGTACGATAGTTGAGAGTCGGGTGAGCAGCGTGCCTCACCCAGACTTTCTTTTGTGATCTCGGCGATATCTCGTCATTGCAGTCATCAAACAGGGCGTTTTTTCCTCTTTTTTCAGTGCTTATACGTTTTGTGGTGTGCAACAGCTGCACAAAACGCATATTGTTACAGGGTTTTCTGTGTGTGTGTCCACAACAACTTGTCCGCAACTGTCAACTCGGGAACCACAAAAGCTAGGAAGCTGAAAATTTAGGGTAATGTTCCCCACCTACGTGTGACCCCGCAAATTTATATTCAGCCTCCCCGTAGCCGTGAGTAACACGTACGGCCCCGCAAAAGTTTTTGTAGGGAAATTATTATCCCATGAACTGCAAGAGCCATAAAGCTGATATTTTAGTGTGGCATCCCCTGCCCACGTGAAACTTCGCAAATTTTCATCACCCCTATGGAAGCTTAGGTGAAAAAATCATGAACTCGGGAGCCGGAAGAGTTAGGAGGCTGAAAATTTCAGGAGGACGTTTCCTGCCTAAGCAGGGGCTTCTCAAACTCTTGCTCAGTTCCTAACTATGCCGAGGTCTCACGTACGGCTATGTGAAAGTTTTGTCTCAAAGGTCATTCGAAACTAAAAAATTAGGAGATCGAAATTTTGGAAGAATATTCACCCTTCGAGGCTTCAAATTCAGCTTTCACATACCGATGCGTGAAATTTTTAACTATTTTTTAACATTTTAACTATTTTTGCAAAGACCATAATGCAAGCGATGAAAATC